CTACACGGCCATCATTGAGTCCATCACCACCTCCTCCTTCACCTCCTCCATCACCTCCTCCATCACCTCCTGCATCACCTCCTCCATCACCTCCTCCATCACCTTCTCCATCACCTCCTCCATCACCTCCTCCATCACCTCCTCCATCACCACCTCCATCACCTCCTCCATCACCTCCTCAATCACCTCCTCCATCACCTCCTCCATCACCTCCTCCATCCCCTCCTCCATCACCTCCTCCATCACCTCCTCCATCACAACAAACAGAGACTACAGTGCATTGTGCGCTCTGCAGAGGAAGTGATCGGCCGCAGCCTTCCATCGCTTCCATCGTTGTTTTTATGTTTTTAAATGTTCTGCTGGCAATAGCAGATGTATTTTGAACACCAAACCCCAAAAGCTGTATATCATTTTAAAGCTTATTTTCTTATCTACATTTACATACAAGTGTAAACTACATCAGACTTTGCATTCAAAAGATATAACACATAATGTGGGCACAAAATAAATTAATTCGGAAATAGTTCTTTACCTTTGGGCTTGTGCTGTACAAATAAATCAGCTCTCCTCCCAGCTTGCAATACATCATTCTCTCTGGAACAGTCCAAAGGAAAATTATATCCACTTGTATTTCCCAAAGTAAAATCCATTCTGCAGAAATAATCCAAAAATGTGCATTTATCTTTAGCGAAAAAAACGAAAAAAAAGAGCACAGATGTTACTCTTTCACTTGTAACGGACTTTTAGCTGGTATTACGTGTTCCTTAGCTCCCTTATCATTTCAAATGAGACTACTCCCGAAAAGCTAGACCCAATTTTTGGGTCTGCAATAGGTCCTCGCAAATAACGCTAGTGTAACAGGGTGTTAAAGGTTGGTTAAACCTGATCATAGGATCGGTGCAATTGTGTTAGTACGTACCTGGCAGTGTATTTAGCTCAGTATGTCTTTTATTTTGGTCGTCTGGCCCAACACTTAGTCACTTTTCCGGTTTGCCGGTCATTTTAAGTCAAGGCTTCCGCCTCTTCCTTCTTTCTCTTTTCCCCTGATGTCTAAGAGAAAGGTAGCTGTTTTAATAATCTAGAGGCTCATCGTGTAATTAAAATTACATCTATGTAAATTTCATCTTGTCTTTTTATGTTATTACTTGTGTTTAGTGTCATCCCAGTTATTATTTAGTATTATGTGTTTTCTGTTTCCTCTGTTTTATGTTCATTAGGCAGTGTTGGGCACACACATGTTTGGGCTAACGCCATTTTATTTTATATTCCATCGCCATGTATGTAATGGTACATTTATGTTTGGCTCTCTCCCCTATGTCTAAGAAAAGGCCGTGTTGGGCACACACATGTTTGGGCTAACTCCTTTAATATATATTCCATCTCCAGAAATAAAAGGTATTTCCGGCTTGCCATCCCAATTGCAGCCAAGTACCTCTTCTCGGGTTCAGAAGCACGTACACAACGCAGGGTCGCTATAGCACAGGTCACATTGGTGCCTGACATCCGTTTAGGACCGGACCAGACACGTCGGTCCACGGTGCATGCTACCTCGGGTTCCAGGACTCGCCAGTAACACCGATCGCCTCGCCGCTGGGAGTCGCCATTCGCCACACTGGGGCCCTGTCGGCGCTCGACCAACGGGGCTGACAAATGCATCACCTACGCCAGCGACTACATCACCCGCGGGGATGGATCCGGAGAGCTGCGCACCGACGCTGCCATGGTCGGCAAGAGGCGCGGGGTTTTGGTGTCCCCTCTCCCGTTTCCTTTGAGTGGTGTGGGTAGTAGTGTTTGCCCCGAGGCAGAGCTACGCCGCGTAATAATGAACAATGTGTGTTTTGTCGGCCTAAGTGCAGTACGGGACAAGTGGTTGAATGATGAAACTTGGGGGGATGAACCAGAGAGCGACATGATGCAACAGATGTTCACAAGTTAGCTGAATACTATTGTGGTCCTAGGTTGCATTCATCAGCTCTTCCGGCGAGTCTCCAGGCTCCTGATATCGTCTCCACAAGCAATGGTTCCATGAACCGACGTAGTTTGAAACTATCAATTTCACATTTATCCGAAAAGGGTGCCAAAAGCCCCCGGTTGATTGAGGGGAGGTTCAGATGTGTTGGCCTCGATGATTATGGGAGGACTAGGATGAAGGTTTCATCTCCGCAAAAGTAATGTTCCCAGTCGAGTGTAGTACGGAGGAAGTCCTTGTCTATTTAAAGGGCAAGGCTAGAAATGTCGTGAAATTAGGACTTAAAAAATGGAGGTACTGGATTCCACACAAGGGCCCGAAGCTATTTACGGTCTGTTTGCGTAAACATTTTGGCGCCGGCCTGTACTCCTCGGTCCCCCTCGCTGATTCATAAGACACTGTCCCGAACAAAGAACTTTCATTACACATTCCGGTCCTAAGACTAACGATAAGTGGTCGCTCGCGATGATCCAGGAGGTGCTGACGCGTACCATTTAGAACATAGCTCCAAGGGAAATCGTGTAATGAACACAGTTACTGTGAATAAAAGTGATGTTGCCGATGAGGTGCCCCCCGCTGCCAACGTAACCGACCAATCTATGTATGAGAAACTCGCCGCCATGTTAGAGAAAGGTTTTTGTCACAAACTCAAGATGGCGCCCAGGTTGCTCGGAGACCGCCGTCGAGACACACGGTATCCCAAGATGGACGGTTTGAACAGCATGCCGTGTGCGGGTCTGCAAGGATGTGTCTCACACCGCGTACACGCATTGTATGAAGCATAAACAGAGTGTTTTCCGATGCACGCGCCAGGGCCACTCCAGCCCCCCGAATGTCCCCCGGGCCGTTAACCACTTCTCCCTCCGGGCCTCAGGGAACACTAGCCAGTCCTGCGCTGTAGACGGGAGGACAGCGCAGATAGATTCTCCACCTCCCACTATGGACAGTGCAGTACGTTCGGGCCCGCCCGAGTAGGTTTACAGGTGACAAGGGTGCGTTGTCAAGACACCAGTTGTAGGCAACGTACCAGCAGAGACTTCAGAAGACAGACTCGTTATTTTCACACGGACGTTATCATGGACAACTGTTTTGTCCTCAAGGGCCTTAGTGGACAGTGGGTCTATGGCGAGCACTATTAGCGAACCAGACTTGATTCAATGCTGCAAGAGGGATTTTTCCGAGATTGACAGGAAGCAGAGCGGACGAGTATGTCTCGTGGCTAGCGAGGAGTCAACCGGTAAATGCCTACAGCTATGTACGACCTCTCTGTTTTAGTGTACGGTGGTCAAAAGTCCATTGTCCAGTCCTAGTAGTTCCAGGCCCAGGACCGACAGCATGATCTGGGGAGCAACTTTTGAAATGGCTCATGATGCAGATCGAAAATGGTGCAATAGACTCGAGTAAGATGGGCGCTTTTGGCAAAGAGCTACCCACGCTGCTATCGCTCTTGTTCCCATACAGTGCACCGTACTGACGCTTCCCTTTGGATATTGGGACTGCAAAAGTTAAAAAGGTGTGTTACATTGCAGCCCCTTTGACTGAGCAGTTTAGTGTGGGCTAAAGTTACCGTCTGAAAGACGTCTTCGGCGGTAGGGAGCTCTGTTATCGTAGAAGCCTACTCGATCTAAGACGAGACCAGCGCAGATCTTTAGTGGGGGAGAGTTGTCATCACACTCTGTATGGGGATGGTGGGTTCCCTTAAAATTGTCAATCTCCCCCACGAAGAGAACACTTGTACTGAAAAAAAAATGCCAAACTCGTGGACGTTTCTGCCTAGTTTGTACAGTACATGATCTACCGAGCCACAACGTGTTCAGTCAAACACCCAGCGCAACATGGAGACTCCATATTTGAAAACAGAGGAACGAGATAAACAGGACACTCAAAACAAAACAATGGTCATGGACTCCCGGAAGTTGACATCACGTCTTGTGAGGTGTCATTGGAGTGGAAGAACAAACTACTCAATCTGATCGAGCGATACTAACTCCACGTTCTCAAGGCACAAGATGAGATTGGGAGAAGCGAAAGACTTATGTACACAGAATCCGGTTGATGGATTGACAAGCCGTTCAGACTTCCGTACAGGCGTGTCCCTCCTTGCCATTACGAAAAAATTGAGGACAGCTTTGAACGAGATATGGAGGAAGATCGTGATCATCAAGAAGTCACAGAGGCGAGTATGCGTCTCCTCTCGTCCTCGTCGTGAAACCCAATGTGATTTACGCATCTGTAATACTTTCGGTGGCTAATGCAAGAACTATAAAGATGCACACCCCTTGCCCCACCAGACTGATGCGCTCGCTGCGCTTGAGGCAATGTGTTCTTCTCCACCATGGATCTCAACCTCGGGGTTTATACAACGTCCCGCTACACGAGGACGACAAGCGTTCACCGCCTCTCTTACCCTTTTGTTTTTTTTTAGTTTTTTTTTTTTTGTTTTTTTTGTTCGGGCCTTGCACGAGTACAACAGAATGCCTCAAGGACTGACCAACAAGCCGCAACGTTCATGCCGCCATGATGATCGATCTTCGGTGAGGAAAAACTTTACCAGTTTATTGTGTTACTCTCGACGATGTGATGGTGTTTGCGCCGTCCGAACAGATTGCGCTAGAGCGGTTGGAGATGGTATTTTCGCGCGTTAGCTGCTAATAACCTTAAGCTTTCCCCTCAAGAAATGTCATTTTCCTCCGCGTTCTGTAAAGTTTTTGGGACACATCGTCTGCGAGGAGGGCATGAAAACCGATCCCAGTAAAGTCCAGGCCATCGGCGATATTAGGGAGGCGGACCTCATGGAGGCAGACGGTAAACACCCCAGTGCCAAAAAGATTAGGTCCTTTTTAGGATGGCCTTGTATTACCACCACTTTATCGAAGGCTGTTCGGCCAAGCTAGGCCCCTGTTTAGTCTCGTGTCAGAACCTGCCACTCCCGAAAAACGGTTAGACCTCCCAGCCTAAGTTCAAGAAAGTTTAGTGAGATTGACCCCCACTGACTGACAGACGACTGTAGGGAAGCGTTCGAGACCCACAAACATGAATTGATACACAGTGTAACGTTGTGCTCAACCAGATTTTTGACAGCTCCTTTTTATCCTAGCTGTTGACGCTTCTACTAAGTAATCTGGATTTATGTTGTGCGTAGGGGCGACAGTGGCTCACTTTGATTGTGTACTGGTTGTGAGTGTGATCTCCCCACCAGACCTTCTTTATCTACTCCCAGTGATGTCTGCTGTCATGTCCCTGCTGAAGAAAAGCAGCCCGATAAGCTTGATGCTGCCACCCCCATGTTTGAATTTTGTTCACAACTTTATCCCTGACCTCTCTGGTGTGCTCCTTGGACTTTATGTTGCTATTTATTAAATGAATGGAGGCTTCAAAGTTGATCTCCCCACCAGACCTTCTTCATCTTCTCCCACTGATGTCTGCCGTTGTTGTGTCCCTGCTGAAGAAAAGCAGCCCGATAAGTATGATGCTGCCACCCCCATATATGACTTTTGTGCACAACTTTATCCCTGACCTCTCTGGTGTGTTCCTTGCACTTTATGATGCTATTTATTAAATGAATGGAGGCTTCAAAGTTGATCCCCCCACCAGAGCATTTTCATCTACTCCCAGTGATGTCTGCCGTCATTGTGTCCCTGCTGAAGAAAAGCAGCCCAATAGCATGATGCTGCCACCCCCATATTTGACTTTTGTCCACAACTTTATCCCTTTTGTGATGCTATTTAAAAAATGAATGAAGGCTTTGAAGTTGATCCCCCCACCAGACCTTCTTCATCTTCTCCCACTGATGTCTGCCGTTGTTGTGTCCCTGCTGAAGAAAAGCAGCCCGATAAGTATGATGCCACCACCCCCATAATTGACTTTTCTCCACAACTTTATCCCTGACTTGGACTTTATGATGCTATTTAGAAAATTAATGGAGTTTTCAAAGCGTGTGTTGAGTAATCAGAGCAGCCTCACAGTGATGCTCGGAGCAGGCTTTGGTGATGTCAACGATGAGGTTTGAACCGTCTGCGAACTGAAGGAGTTTGCTAATTTGGAGAAAACCCGACCGTGTAGTGTCATTTGAAACATAAAAGACAAATCTTGTGTCATTGGTTTGGTATTTGCAAAAAAAGAGAAAGTATTCCCCGGTTTATTATCTGAACATCACAACTATTTAGTGAGAAATACACTCTCAGAACAGCTGTAAGAGTAGATTACGGTGGTCTCTATTTAAAACGTATTTGAAATATTTAATACTTGTGGAAATCCATAATTCTCTTCCTGCTAGCTTGGCTGATTTCTTTACATTTTCTCACATGTTCAAAAAGGAAAATAGTGTGTTTGAGAGCCTATATTTACAGTCGTGCCTCTGATAAATGCATTCTTTGAGCTAACCTAGTATTAGAAGCTCTCAAGGCCATAGCGTCATTCATTGGGCTTTCCCACACTGTCAAAAGGCAAAGTAATCCTCTTACTTATTGAGTTTTTTGTCAATGTTGTGGAATGATATGTGGTATGTCTGAAATGCTCTGAAAAAGACTCTTTGTGGCCAAATCGCAAAGGCTTGTCCTTGTATTTTAAATAAAATGACATGTTTTTGTATTGGTCGGAGTGCCTTGGATTATTTCATCTCTTCAATATTGAGAATAATATAAATAATGTAGGTAAAAAATGTACTGACCTTTTATACTTTTCAAATTGAACGCAGAACAGAAGAAGGTAGGGTGATGCCCTCAAAACAGTGTAATGGGAGATAGGTGTAGGGTCAGAGAGTGTTCGGTTCCGTCTTGTGCGTGTGTGTGTGTGCGTGTGTCATATCAATGACGTTGGTGTATTGTGTTATTTGTACTACACTGTTTCCAAACCTTTTATGACCTGTGTAGAGATGGCACAAGTTCCAACAGTTGTTAAGGGTATAAAACAAAATCTTTCTCATGCTGCAGGTGTCAAATGTATTTGCTTGTATTTATGGTAATATTATAATTAACATTGTCTTTGTGGAAAGGTGTTTGTAACTCACATTTTGAATTTAATTATTATATTTGAATTTGATATTGACTTTTAGTTTGACGGTTCATTTTAACTTAACTTTAACAAACTTTGACTGATCAGAAATTGGACCAACATATCAATTGCCTTCCATATTTGACTAATTAATATTATCATTATGTTATGGATTCATTGATTAGAATAAAAATAAATCAGATATGCAGTACAAGGGTGGGACAGCGCAGGGTGTGACCTCCTGCTGGTGCCCAGAGTCAGGACTAAACAGGGGGAGGCAGCTTTTCAGATTTATGCAGCTATAATCTGTAAAAGTCTTCCTGAAAATGTGTTCTGTTTTGTTACAACTGGAGGATTTTATCTTTACTCTTTAACCTCTTTACTTTTATTTTTAAAATGTTCTGCTGGCAATGGCAGATGTATTTTGAACACCAAACCCCAACATTTTAAAGCTTATTTTCTTATCTACATTTATATAAAAGTGTAAACTACATCAGACTTGCATTCAAAAGATATAACACATAATGTGGGCACAAAATAAGTCACTAAGGAAAATGTTTTTTAACTTTGGGCTTGTGCTGCATAAATAAATCAGCTCTCCTCCCGGATTCCTATGGCTCTTTCACTCCCTAATAGTCCAAGGAAAAAGAACATCCACTTGTATTTCCCAAAGTATAATCCATTCTGGAGAAATAATCCAAAAATGTGCATTTATCTTTAGCGAAAAAAAAAAAAAAAAAAAAAACAGAGGCTGGACTTTTAGCTTTGTTTTTCACCCAAACATCCAGTATCCACGTGTTCAGCTACTCCTTATCTTTCAAATGACACCTTTCATGAATCTCTTCGAGCTATTTTAGGTCCGCAAAATCTCTCGTGAGTTGTACAAGCGGCTGCGTTTTGCGCATGGGGTCACTTCACATTTGTGGTCATTTGACTGCTTTGCATCTACTTCCTGGCGGAAAGATTGACATGTCCGTGTAGCC